TCATAGCCGGATTTCAGAATTTACGAAATAATCGAAACAGGACCACTATATTTAACCTAGTAATGAATATTAAGCACAGTATAAACTAAATGATTCTAATTGCTAGTTTGAACAGTTGTCTTCGCTCAATACTACTCAAGATCAGATGGCCAGCCAGAAAAGATCAGCAACAGTGATCTCTGAGCGAACCAACCAAGAACCGATTGTGCAACAAATAGGCAGGAAGAAACGGAGATGGATTGGATTGGCCATACTCTGAGAAAACTAACCATCAAGTGACATCACTAGACAAGCCATCACTCGAGTGGAACCCGAAAGGGAAGCGGGGAGTTGGCCTTCAGTGCAAGGGTGACTTGGAGAAGATCATGTGAAGAGGAGACGAAAGCATGTGGGCAGACTTGGAGCGGGGTGAAAACGTTGGCAGAGAACCGAACGCAATGGAGACGCGCGGCTGAAGCCCTATGTTCCTCTAGGAATTAAAGGAAATAATATTAATAATTACTAGTTAATTCGAGGAACAACGTAGAAAGACGTACTGACAGTATGCAGTATAAAATATCTACATGTTTTCTCTGTTTGTAATACGTAGGAAGTAAACCTTTCATTCCGTTTACTGAATGATATATTTTGCCTAAGGATAATGAGCTTCGACTAAATGAAAGCTAGAAAGTACTATTTATTGCAAAGGGATTTTACCTAGTAATGTAGCGTCCTATATGTAACAAGTATCCCTCCTTCTACAGATCGCCAGCAGATTTAAGTTACTTCATTTTTAAGCTAGCCAGGTTTCATCTTAGTTATTAACTAACTATTCATTAAGCAAACAGTCATGCCGTAGCCTAGTTTAAACGACAGAGAAAAAAAGAACCATTTTTTAAAAAAAGCGAAAGGATTATTAGTCACCAGTAAAAACTAACACTTATGTCAGACAATAAATTTCAAACAAGAAAATAAAGGCAGTAAGAAGTAATATAAATTAGAGATTATATTCCATGAGAAAATGTATTCCTCCCTCCATACTGACAACAGATGAAATATTTGTTATGCTCTAAGCCAATATATCTGAGGCTATTTGTCTTTCATCATCTCTCTGTATATTCTATTCACATTCAAAAATATTTTGGTAGATTTAAACAAAATAGGAGTCTTTTTTTTTTCTCTTTGTTGCATTTAAATACTTTACAAAAGGATGATGGATATTCTTGATAAATTCTGTTTCAGAGTGTGACTAACAACATAAGAAAAAAAATATATTAGGTAAGGGGAAAGGCTACAATGTACTCGTAAATAATGAATACTTGATTCCTTTATTCTTACTGTCGAATAGCCTAAGTCTTCATAAGCATTTGATGAAACAGATTGATGATTCAATTCTTGAGCTTATATGAGTCTTAAGGTCCCAATTAAACTTCCAACTTAGTATTCCTTTATTGTAATGCATGAGTAGTTTCGAAAGTAGACAAAGTGATTCATTAAACGTTAACTTTGAATGCGCAGGATACTGAAATTAATTCGAATTTATTATTGATTGATTCGACTGATTCGCAACTAGCTGTTTTTATCTTTCAATTAATAAATACAGCATCCTAAAATCTAGCTATACATAAAGGCCACCAAGTAATGATGAAGTCTACGTATATATTTAAATATTTCTGAAACGAAAAGCTGATCAGAAGGTATAAGTAGATGCATATATATTAAGAGAATGCTAAATAATGCTTATACTCTCGTGTTGATAAACTGTTTTACATAGTTTCGAAAGAATCCTTCTGAATAAGTCAAAACAAAGTAAATTCCTTGCATCATATTCGATCATTTGTATCAGTTTATTTCTATTATGGTTCATCTCCTAGTGCGTCGGTGGCATAGCGGTTAGGACGCTCGCCGGTCATGTACATGGTCCGGGGTTCGGTCCCCGGCCGACGAACTCCTTTACTTCGCTAAACCAGAAATAATGCAGGTAAAGAGGAAAGGTTGGGGATGAGGCTGGCAAACCCATCCTGTAAAATAATCACTGCTACAGAAACTTCAGGCCAAAAGCTTGAAGCCCTATGTTCCACTGGGGAACGTGAAAGAAAAAAAAATACCAACGTTAATATTTATCCTTATATATGTCTCAGTGTTCACGAATAAGCTCCATCTACAACTTAGCGCAACTTATGTCGAATTTCAGTCAGATAATTGTAAAATCAAGTTTAGTTCTAGATAAACAATGAGCAGTTTATTCTCACTTTTAAAACAGTGTCTATTCATCACAGAATAATAACACTAATCAAAGAACCATTGAAAACCTCGAAACACCACAATTACTTCATTCTAGTATAAAACTAATTATCTTACTATTCTTCGCATATTCTCTTTGTAGTGGAAAAGGATTATACACACGAGTACCTTAGAATGTTCTAATTTGAATGGAACATTCTTAGTAAAGCTTCATATTTATGTCCCAGCTATAGTGGGTATATTCTTAATACGTTCTAACTGACTGGTTTCAATGTAGAACTTTGCACATATGTGCAGCAGTTCAAGTTGCCACACTTCATGTTCTTAATGCCTTCACTATTGAAGTGAAGAGTTTCCGCTTTATTTTTTATTATCTTACTTGAGATTTAGTGAATCTGATGATTCGCAATTAAGTTAGAAGATTTATACAGCTGGATTATGAAATAAATGATAGTTTATTCTGTCTATGTATAGTTTAAATGAAACTTAAGGGTCCGTTGGTTTGGATTCTGTTGAGATCCATGTCTGTTTTAACATTTCAGATAGTCATCCAACTAACTGTAAGTATGCCGAAAGGCTTACTGCATGAACTATATGGTAAGGCTAATGTTATTATTATTATTACTTTTAGTCCTCCAGATTACTGCTTGCCGAGTTTACTTTTCATTCTTTAAAGACTTGCAGATATTTCGTATAATGACTATTATTTAAACCACCTTTTAGTGTAACTTTTAACCCAGTGTTAGGTTTGTGGGTAATTATTTACTAATAATTACTACTATTTTGGGCTCCATTCCCTACTGTTTTAAGATATCTGAAATGATACTTACCACTGTTATGTATAAAATGACTCACGATCTGTCTGTCTGTTTTCGACATAGAACTTTACACCGATGTGCACCAGTTCAAGTCGCCACACTCCCTCCTTGTAGCACACAAACCAAGAGAAGAAAGTAGAAGAAAAGCATACTAGAGACTGTAAACAGAGGTGTGAGACAAAGGAATAGTAATAACGAAGAACAATATAGTTTCATTGGAAATCATAAGTCACGAGGAGTGGGTGCATCTTCGCCACCCATTGGGAACGATTTTGAGCCATATCACCAATTGATTCCAACCATTGGTTTTTACCATGCCGAGGTCCCCAACCTGGAAGTCTACAACTTTCTTCGTGACTTAAACTAACTGTTGTAGATTTCATTGACTGGTGAGGTCATATTTTGGTTTGACCGCCACTAGCTCTTTTCCAGCTTGACCCTATGTCAGCTAACATTGCCCATTGTCGAGGAAGGTGATGACTAGGCATACGTAGCACATGTCCTAACCATCTCAGTCGATGTACCTTCACAGCCTCGTCGATTGATTTCCCTACTTACCCAGCTTATCCCCTTGTGATTATCATAGAAAAATTGTTTCCCTTCCTTGAGACTGGGATGACTTACATCAGTCTCGAATTCCAACACATAACTGAATATTATCTTAGTTAACCCAATCAGAAACTCATCATCAACTTCCTTAATACCCCTGTGGTCATACCAACAGCTCCCTCCGCTTAGCCTCGTTTCACACTGGAAACAGACTTAGCGGTTTCGATTACAACTGGATGAGTACATTTCATTCAGATGTGTGCTGGATGCTTGGCGTGGTTGTACGTCAGCTGAACTGCTCTCTCCAACATTCCTACAGTTTGTCCAAAGGGGAGACTAAAGGAGTGTTTCTCTAGGAAATTATTTCGTTTACCACTGATTTTTCCCAACCCGTTTATCTTATGAGTTTAACTAGTTGTCTGGTATTACCTACCGCCGATACCTTTCCTTCTCACCCAACAATATTCACAGTCGTTACGGTGATATTTATTCAGTTCACATTTGAGCACCTTTCGCCCCTCACCATGTTCGAAGCCCTTCATAATCAGCCTTATTGGGTCTATTTAGCTCAGCCGTATACTAGTACGTACTGGTAGAGGTAGTCATGCTATGAAAGCATTTCACGGTTCATGAAACCAGTGACTGGGATATATTTATAGTAATCTGTATTTCAGATATTCTGTCTTAAAGTTTAGATATACCTATATATATATATATATATAGGTTTCGAGTGGAACATACGGCTTTCGCAGCACACTTCCACTTCACTCTGTTCTGTGAAGTCTTTTTTACATGACTCCATCACGGTCGCCTATAAGCCTTAATCTCCTCCTCAAACGATCTCTGTGTTGTACAACTCAGTGGTAATAGTCTGCGCAGTAAGAATCCCAGTGTTTGTATGTTTCACCACCTCATAAATCACTTTCCTAGATAACTGCTTTTTTTCCCTTCACGTTCCCCAGTGGAACATAGGGCTTCAAGCTAGTGGCTTGAAGTTTCTGTAGTAGTGTTTATTTTACAGGATGGCGTTGCTAGCCTCGTGCCCAACCTTTCCTCCCTTCCAGCTTTATTTCTGGCTTAGCGAGGTAAAGGAGTGTGTCGGTGGCCGGGGATCGAATCCCCGACCGTGTGCCTGGTCGGCGAGCATCCTAACCGCTGTGCCACTGACGCCTAGATAACTGCTAAAACTCCTCAATACAAACGTTAGCTTCCAAGTTAACCTAACACAGACCAAACAGTAATTTCAGCAGTCTCTGTTCAAAAATGATCCGTGTATGTAATTTCTATTGTAAATATTACATCCTATAGTTTAATAACTCCGTAATCACTAACGATTTACTGTTAGTAATTGAATTATTTTTACATATTTCACAAATTACCACGAAGTTAATTAAAATAATTCAGACTTACCAATTACTGAAGCGTCACTGTCTTCCATTTGATCTGTATTTAATGTTACTACTTGATAACATAAAGCTTCTGCATCAATTTCAGCTTTCGTAGTTAATAAACCTTTTCTTTCATGTATGTTGAACAAAGCAGATGGTGAACCAAGTTTGTAGGTGAGTCCTACAAGTTGTCCAATTTCATTTTCATTTGAATGTTTCATCTGTGACTGTGATGAAAGTAGACTCGGTGAAGACTTAGGATTCGAGATTACAATTGCACTTATAGTACCAACTTCTGTGCCAATAGGACAGTTTTCATCTATACTGAACTCATTTGAATATTCTTGAAGTCTTGAGATTCTTCCAAATACGCATGACAATGTTATAGAAAAGTGTATGATGCAGTGAAGTACGAAGTACTCTTTCATATAACCGCTCACATTTTCATAATATCTGATAGTCTTCATGTCCCAGAGTCACTGAAGAATATTGGAGAGGGTTTGAACAGTTTGTTAAAAAAGATTTATAATAAAATTTGAAATATTAATTAAATATTTCTAATGTTTAATTTTTTTCTTAGGTTATTGAAGCTTTTAGACTTCGATGTGTTGTTCATACAAATGTTAAATTATTTCTCTAGCTGTTTCCTTGTTTGTTCATGGTTAGTATTCACCTTAAGGCAGTGTAGCTTTTGTGGATTAAACGTCCTGTTCACTAGATAGAAACACCCTATCTTCCACAAAATGTGACCAAAATATGTATCCCCACCCCCCCTTCATTCATAAGCTTATGAATAACTATCTTCGTGAACAGTGTCACCTTATTTAGCGACTGAATGGACCAATCAAAATGCAGGAAATTAGTGGATAGATTAAAAAAGCCCTTTCTCATTATCGTATTCGGTCATCAGCCTTCAGTGTTTCTAATAAACTAATTTTTCTTCTCTGTCTGCGTGAGATGGCTAACCAGAAAGGAACTAGTCACAAAATTTTATTTTTACAACAAATTGTCTAGAGGTTTATACACACACATGTATCCATTATACAAAATAAACAAGTGCACAATGATTTGGTTCATTGTATGGTCAGATAACACAATCTCTCCTATTACACTGACACTGCCTTGGTAAGTTTATTTCTTAATTGTATACATAATTTAACCCAGATATTTTATGAATAATTTTTTTTTTGACAATGAAATAATGACTAGAGAGTTAAAGTGATTTTGTGGCAGTGCTAAATATCCACAAAACCTCCTAGAATTTATATTGTCTCCTTTAGTTCCTACAGGAACATAGGGCTTCAGCACCACGTCTCCATTGCGTTCGGTTCCCCGCCACCGTTTTCACCTAGCTTCACGCCTGCCCACATGCTTTCATCTCCTCTTCCATGTCCCCCTCTCACTGATGGCCAACTAACAGGCAGCCACCCATTCGGGTTCCAGTCGAGCGATGGCCTGGCGTGGGATATCACTCACTTGATGGTTAGTTTTCTCAGAGTATGACCAGTTCACTTCCATTTCTTTCTGCTTATTTGTTGCACAGTCGGCTCCTGGTTGTTTTGCTCATTGCCAGAGATCCCTTTTGCTGATCTTTTCTGGTCGGCCATCTGATTTTGAGTAGTATTGAGGGAAGACAGCTGTTGATGAAGGTCTGGATCTTATTTTTCCTGCTTTGTACAGTTGATCTTCACATAGAGAGTAATAATGTAGTGAAATTGAGTAATAGATATTAAGTACAGTTCTTATTTTCGGAAAATAACAAGGGAGCTGTTTCTTTGAGCTACTGTCGTAACAAAGTATTATAGAAGTAATTTGTATACTTAGTATTTTCTAGAAGACTAAATTAAATTAATGGGGAGAACTACTTTTCCAATGACTAATACTAATTACATATTCTACTAATGGTAATATAGTACATCAACTTCAATTATTGGTGATTTATTTACAAATTATCAAGAGAATATCTTTCCTTTTCATGAACTAGTGGGACATTAAAGTGTGTTTTTAAGCTCATAAATTCTGTTTTTTTATAAGGTTAATTTAAATTATTTTCTAGTGACTTGCTGCAGGATGGAGTTTCCTGAAGTTCTAGTGAGAAGTCATGACCAGTGAGGTCCATCCAGATGCCACGTGTGAGGATGGATGTCCCACCTACCACAATGGTTGGGGTCGTGCTAAATCACGAATTGGTCGAAATTAGAATTCATGAGCCACTGAATCGGGTCCCGTGGCTAAATGGTAGACGAGCTCGCTGGCCTTGTAACCGGAAGGTCATGGGTTTGAACTCTGATAGGTGGGTGAGTACTGCCGATAATTTTCAAACTAGGCTGGTGAAACAGCTGTCCAGTATTTCAGTGCTGGTTTTCAATGGTCTTCTAACTGATATCAATCCGTGATCAACTCATAAAAAACAAAATTAACCCTTACAAACCAAACTATAGAAAATAAATTCTTTTCTGTTAAGAGGTAGTTAGAATGATCTGCTAGGGTGATCGGCTCATAGAATTACACTGGATACATAGAATTCATAGGTCACTGGATTTCTTCTTAGTGACTGACCAGTGACAGACACGTTGATATCCTAACTGGAAGGCTGTGCATTTGATATCTGGTGGGGTCATGAATGTCTACCGTTGAAGGGTCCGAAATTGGGATGATGTAGCCGTCCGTCATGTCCTTTCTAGTTTTCAGTGATTCTCTTACTAATATCACTTCATAATAGAACTTGAAATCTGCCGAATCCTTGTAAACTAACAGTTGAAAATGCCTGATATAAAAAATAAGAAGACGTAATTTGTCCGAAAGGTGTAATGTATGTGTATGACACATTTCAGACATTCTGATCACGAATATACACTACACCTTTTAGATAGTTTACATTTTCTCATTGTTTTGTCGAAATTCATAAACAGAAGTAATTCCATTAAAATATTTAAAATAAATTCTGATCAAACACTTCAGTGTTATAGTCATGTCAAAGGCTGCTAAAGCTTTCTTGAGAAATACATTTAAATCTTTCAGATAACTACACACACCATTAAGTTACGCGTTTAACTTATTCATGCTTATGGTTGAGGTGATCGGAGAAGTATGTCTGAAAGTTGTTTATTTTAGCCACTTATTATCTGTCTAGTTAATAATATCTAGATAATTGAAGGCAGTCAGCAGGGAAACGCATTACTAGATTTCGTGCTGGTTTACCATTCATCAAAAAGGCGTATCTGCAACCTCAAAGGATGTGAAGTTCGCATGGAGATTTGAGCCGACATTATACAGTGAGGAAGTCAGAGATATCCCCACTGAACTATTCCGACTCGAAATCTATCCTCTATAGGATTGTAGTGGATACAATGATTGATCACTAGAGTGTAACCGATCTCGAGCGTCTGTTTACTGGTGTTTGTGCTATATTTGTGTGGGCATCAGACTAGGAGATTTGTGTAATACAGCAAAAACTGAAAATATCAGTCTTAAATCTGAGGTAAATAGTTCCGAAAAATTATTTGTTTCTAAGACAGTTGATGCTGAAAAATGTCATTTATCACTTGGTGTCGCATAATTTTTTTCCAGTCAAAATTCCAGGGTAAAAATTTCACCTTGTTCAAAGTTGATGAGCGAAGTCTGCGAAGTATTTTGAAGGAAGTTTTCATTTCACAGATGATATAGTCTGTTAAAGTTTTATTCTTTCTTATTTTTGAAAAAAAAAATGGTTGTAACATGGAATTAGTGTAGTTGCATCTTCAACAGAAACAGGTTCATTCATAGAACACAGTCAGATAATTTAAATAATCGTAATAACAGTTATTATCAAGTTGATACGAACATACAAACATAGTTATTCAGTTATTAATACTGAATCTGTCTAAGTAAAGCAACTAGGCAAAGCAACAGGATTGACTCCAAAGGTGTTTAAAGGTGGTAGGGATGAGTTATTGCCTGAGTTAACTACGATATTAGTCTATATCTAGGAGTCTGATATAACGCCATTGGACTAATGTAAATCACTGATTGTTCTAGTTTATAAGAAGGTATCCAAGTGTTCCTGTGAAAATCACAATATGGGGATTTTTCATTTACTGAAATCTTGTGAGCATCCCGTTGCACTGAAGGCACTCAACGAGTATCTGAAGTATAGTGCAAAGCTCGCTGAAGCGAAAACTAATGTGGATTTTATCCGAAACTGTATTGAGAATAACCAATATCCTAAATCATTCTCTAAATCTCTTCGTCGATGTAAAGTGCGCCCAAACACGAAATCTCTCAAGCGATTCGCTCTTAATCAGATTGAATCTCTCCAAGGATATATTAGCACATTAGAAAGAAATATTCCACAGAGACAGTATGCTGTCGATGAACTCCCCATACATTTAAAGGAATTATTCTTAAAATACGTCCACGATGTTTCTAAAACTAGAGAAACTAAAAAAAGAATCCAGCTTACAAAAGGATTAGATACGGAAATACCAGAATCCCACTTTCCCAAGGACCCTGAAAGGTACGTCTTCAACTTTTCCAGTGTGACTTTAGATAAGACTGCTATGGAAGTGTTGTCACTAGGCCCTAAATTTTGTGATAAAAGAGTTAATATTGACCAATTACATACAGAAGTACAGTTTGAAAACCTCTTCATTCAGACACTTGACCTAACGCCGTCCTCCCAACATGAGTTAGACAGATTTAAAAGTACCTTGGTTGATTGTTGTTACCAATACAATAATGCCAAGATTGACAAGAAAAGTATATTAACTAAAAAGCATAGAGAATGCCTCAGAAAACTAATGTCGGATGACAGCATTATTATCACAAAACCAGACAAGGGATCAGGTACAGTAATTTTAAACAAACGCGACTATATTGATAAGATGAACGCCATACTGGAAGACCGTTCCAAGTTTCAAAAGTTAGGTAATAGTAAAGATTCGAATGAAGCAACAGAACGTCAGTTTGTTAAAACTTTGAAGTCTCTAAAAAATGAAAATCTAATTGATAGTTCCATCTTTGACGCTATTAAGCCCACCGGAACTCATACACCTAGACTTTATGGCTTACCCAAGATACATAAGCAGGGAATCCCCCTACGACCAATCCTAGACATGTCGAACTCACCCTTCCATTTAACTGCCAAATGGTTGGTAAAACTGTTAGAACCGTTACACCGCCAGTTGGTCAAATATAGTGTAAAAGATGTCTTTAACTTTGTTGAAAATATTAAAGATATGAAAATAACAGAAAAAACCATGTTATCGCTGGACGTAACATCACTATTTACCAACGTCCCCCTTGTAGAAACTGTCGACTACATATGTGAACAACTCGTAGAAAAGAATATAGAAATTGGAATCACACCAAGAAAATTGAAAGAGTTATTACTAAAATGCACTATGAATGTCCAATTTGTATTTAATAAGGAGTACTACCGCCAAATAGATGGGGTTGCTATGGGCTCTCCCCTTGGTTCCTTATTAGCCGACATATTTCT